CGTTAATTTCCTTTATTTGTTGACTTAAAAAAAAATTAGTAAAATCCAAGATGGCCAGTCAAATGACTCCGTCGAATGACGGTCGAGGGGGAGGTAGTTCCCCTATCCCCCCTTGTACCAAGGTAGGAGTACAAGTTAGCTTGTACGTCTGAGGGTTAATACCCAGTATGCCCTTACTTTCTTGCCTGAATATTGCGTTTGTGAAAAACTGCGATAGGGGGTCAGTAATATATTACATATCATGCTCGTGAAAGGGTTTCTCAGATCAAAGTAAGCAGTCCATCAAATGATTGCATAAGTTCTAATTAACTTTATAATAATGTTATATTGTAATAGTAATAGCATTTCTGTAGCGTCGATCCACTAGTTGCCCATAGCAACATCAATTAAGATTATTAGACATCTAAACATAGAGACGTTACAGGAGCTTGCGCATCTCGAAAAGCTTAGCCTAAATTTTCAAGTTCGTCGTTTGTAATCCGTGTTAATGTCCTCCATCCTTGATCATCTTTGGTCCCTTATAGTTTATTATTAACCCTATGGTGTTTTTCTATATTAGTAAACTATTATTTGCAGGTTTTCTTCAATTTTAAGGAAATTTTATACACGGTGAAAATAACTCAATACTCTGTGTCTAAGCCTCTTTAATGCACCTTTTAAAATCGAACAGTCCTCGTTATGCTTATTATTTGCCAACTCCAAAACTACCAATTTAACAAATCACTGAAGCTAAATAAGTTAAAACAAATATTGTGATGAGTGGTGACTTTAGAAAACAATCATATTTTCTTTGCTTAATGGTGCCTCCTTAGCTTCTTTTCAAAATTACCCGTTTCTGAGGTGCTATCATTCCAAATGATTGACGAACTATTCTTGACCAGCCTGTGTACTAGATACTAGGTAGACAATGCTTTATTGCAAACCAGTGGATCGCTTAAGGGTCCTGAGGAAATACATACCCTTCCTAAATGTATTATCCCTTAATGGTCATGCGCTGTTAGTTAAAATTGTGAGAAGGAAACTCTCCGCCACCATTACATCACTTTGTTTGAATTCCTAAAGTTATTCGTTAATCATTATATTGTAGCTAATACTGTTTTCAGGTATATGAATGACATGTTTTCCAGGCTTGATGCGTTCTTTAAGACATATTTGTAGACATTTACCTTACGCAATAACAAAACCGAGAAATAGTGTCCGTCACCGCCAGTCTTATTTCCCTGATTTTCCAGCAATAAATAAAAGGATTTAGGGATGAATTTAAGAAAACGACTACCGTCGTTATTTCCCAACCTAAGTCAATGGATAGTGTATTTCGTTCAGTGATAGCAAATGTAGCTATGATGACACCAATAGGAAGGTAACAAGCCACTAACGTCACATTTACCCACAATGCACTGGACACTGACTTTCTGTATCGCGCTATATTCAGAGGAGTAGATCTCTTGGATTGCCAGGAGCATCCTCTGTTCGATCGTGTTTGGTGAGCATGGCCCTGTAACTGCGCTTGATGTTTTCGTAATGTGAAATAAATTTTTGTGTAACAGCAGGTTGAGATTATTATACACAGCAATAAGATCGTGCAAACCACAAAATCACTAATTGAAAAGTTATAAAAGATTGTGATTACAATGGCAATTAT